CACAATAACTTTATTCCTGGTTTCCCCCTGCTTTTCTAATTCCTGGGATGCTGGGGGGAGGGAGCGTTACTCTGCCCGAGAGAAGCAGGCTCCCCAGCCCGCCTGGGTGGTGCAAAGTCACTCAAGGAGTTAAAAAAGCAGAGCGAAGCACCAGAAAAGTTTGGCAAAAAGTTTCCTCCAGTCTGTGAGTCGCTGCTCCGAGCGGTCCTTTGCCTGGAGTTTGGAATAAGGTGGCTGAACTGAAAAGCCTCTTTGATGTATTTATCCAGGGAGTTGCAGGTGCTGCAGAGATCAGGAGGAAGAGGGAATCTCTCAACTTCAGGGAATTTTGCAAGGCGGGATGAGAGGGAGCTGCCAGGTCCCCCAGGCTGGCTACCTGCCGGGGGACACGCTGCGGTGGCCGGGGCGAGCAGCCGGCTGGTAGCGGGGTTTGGGCATGGCCAGATCCCGCCTTTGGGGTTTCTCTCTCCCTTTTCCCCCACCCCTCTGGGTTTGGTTTGCTTTCGCTGGGAAGTTTGATGCGAGCCCGAGATTCTTTATAGGGACAGGAAAAAAAAAAAAAAAAGAAGGAGGAAGGAGAGACGTCACCAGCCGAGACAAGGGGACTTCACTCTCTCTCCCTCCCTCCCTGTCATTTCACAGAGCTCCTGGATTTCCTGTTGCTGCTTCTGCTGCCTGAGATGGGGCAAAGAAATGAGCCGAGTTGTACCCTGCTGCCTCCCAGCATCGCCTGTCCCTGCGAAGCCGGAGCTGCTGGAGCATCAGGTGGCAACATCTCCCCCAGTCCTGCCCCGCTTCCCCCAAAGGCAGCCCCGGTGTCAGCATCCCCCCGCTTCCCGGCTCCAGGGCTCTCAGGGCTCCAGGGCACAGGGAAGGGGAGCACGGAGGGACAACACCTGAGAAGCAGGCTCCCTTGTGGGAGGGCTGTCTTTGCCCCCCTTCCCCTGGCTATTTAGCAGTTTGGGGTTCTCTTCGTGCCGCTCAGCGTACCCTGCTGGAATGCCACCTCCCTGCCCCGCTGCCTCCCTTCTTGCGGCCGCCGCCGCTGTGCATCCTCTTGGGGCACAGAGAAAGTTTCTTGTTTGAATAGGATATTTCACGCCACCCTAATGGCATTATTATTTATATAGCGCAGCCGCCTCCCTCATCTCTGCTGGGTTGCGCACAGCAGCCGCCTCTGTGTCACCTGAGCGCTATCTCCAGGCCCTTGGGTGTAGACAGATCCACCCACGCGCCGTGGCTTCCAGCCTGTCCGCCTGCCTTTGCTCTTGCCACGCCAGGCAGGATTTCGGCAGGGCCGAGCGCTCCTGCGACGGTGGGGGACAGCGTGGTTTTGGCAGGGGACGCCACTGCGTCCCCTTTCCCACCTGGCCCCGGGACAGCACAGTCTTTTCTTGGTTGGGGACCGCTCCTTCAGCCGCAGGTGCCTCCTGGGCCAGCGCAGCCTCAGCTGCGAGGGTCAGACACTGTGCTTAGGAAGTGCCAGGCACCCCGGGAGATGTCCCCGTGCACCTAAGGGGCTCTTCGGTGACGGGGAGGGAGCTATTCTATGCCATTGCAATGCACATACCAGTTATATGGCCTTTAACGTACACAAACCGCTACGCTGCACTGATAATAAGGGAGTGGGGGAAGCTCTACAGCTGCCCACACAGATTGTCATTCCCAGTGCTGCCACAAATGAGGCACTGGGGTTAAATGACCTATTCCAGCCTCACAGTAAAGCACTGTCAGTCCCCACGGCTGAATGACGGGGTTTGTTTGCATTTTTGTTACTCCCAGTTCGTCTTCAGAAGAGGAAGATAGCAGGTGCATTAGACCTTATCCTGTATGGATATCAAGGGGTTTAGTGAAACTGAACCATGCTCAGGGTATTATGAAGTTTTTAATTTCTCTTTTTGGTATAGTCCTAAATTCTCAATGCACGTAACAAGTATGTATACTACATTAAAATGCACTAGAGCAAAGGGAGACATGGGAACAGTTCTGAGAGTTACAAATCCATATGTTATCCTGCAAGGAACTGGGCACTTCAGAACACCAGAACTGCTACCTGGTGTAGAAATGTCCCAAATTCAAACAATAAATTGAACACAGAACAGCCTCAGAGATTTCCAGTTTTATGGACCAGAAGCATCATTGCTCATGCACAGTGTTAAATCAGGAATACTTTTCTCAGCATCACGTGATGTCACCAGTTAATGCTAATTTTCATATCAATGCCCTTCTTAAGATGACAAATGCATTTTCTATGCCTAAAATTAGTTTTTAGAACATACAATTTCATCCCAATCTATGTTGCAGTAACCGACTTCTAAATAGTCATAAAACAGTAAAGACCAATCTTATAGGAAGCTTAACTGAAGAATGCAAATTCTACCTTAATTATAGAGCTCTAGTTTATTTTTGATTTACAGGAAAGTGTTTAAGAATTCCTTGGAGGTTACTGACCAGCTGCGAGCAAATCATGTTGTATTTGTGGAATGCCCCAGGTAATCTTTTATCTGTTGATAAACTTAATTGATTTTTTACCTGAGATTAAGTGCCTATAGTGTGTAGTTTCACAAGGAATTTAGTGTGACAACCTGGCCAAATGGTCCAGGGAACTATTTATAAGTCTTTATTTTCTCCCTCCAAATCTACAAAACCATCTTGATATGCCTGTAGCAACCTGTTAGAGCTTTTCCAAAGCAGAGCAGACTTCCCTAACGCCACCGCATGTTCTGTTCATACGGATGGGAAAAGCGGTTTGCTAACTGGACTAGAACCTCTTCATAATAGCACAACTCGTTTTGCTGCGACAGTTATTCCATCTGAGGAACTCAAAGCTCTTTACTAATATTAACAAATGTCTTAGCCTCACAGTACTCGTGGGAACTGAAGGAGGGCTAGAAAAGGTCGTTTCACTTCCTAATGAAATGCTTTTAGCTTTGCAAAGGCGCCTGACAGTTGTATCAGTATGACCATAATTAAATAAATTAATAATAGCAATGAAGTGAAGAGTGCTGTGGCTGGTGGAAATACTGGATGACTGGGATGGAAAGCAATAACCTGTAAGAATTTAGCCAGAATATCGGGGCTATGGCCTCGTGCACCACCAAGCACTATGTGTTTTGTAGGACCAAGGCAACATCGTCTATGGGACCTGCAGGAACTAGAGACTGATCTAGACGCTCCCCTGGCCGTCCCTCAGAGCACCTTCCATTCTTGATGGCATTGGCCTGACATCGAGGATTACATGGATTCCTGCCTTTTGTCGACTTGGCAGGGGACGGTACCAGAGGTGGGAACTCTTTCGCTTTGTCTTGCTCCTCGGTTGGTGCTCATCATCAGTCATGTGTCTGGGAAGCAGAGCAGAGGAAACAGCTGTTGAGCAGAGCCGGGCCTGGAATTGCGTCCTCCGCTGCGTGCTGTGTTTAGCCTTAGCCAAAGGTAAAATGCATCTAACCTAAATGTAGCTGTGCAAATATTAGGTGTCTAATCTGGGCTCGTTATCTGGGCTGCCCTGCTTAGCGACTGCAGAGATCATCTCTTCTGACTCATCCCACCTGGGCAAACCTCTGTTTTACGAGCCGCCTTTGGCAGGTGCCCGTTTGCCTCCCTCAACAATAGAGGGAGGAGGCAAGTTTAGCCTATAAGCCTAAATTTTAGATGGGTAGTTCTGCCTTGTGTCTTCAGGTAGAGGCACTTTGGTGCAAAGACAGCCTTTCCTCTCAGCTTGAGGGAGAGGGGCCTGACCAGAGGCACGTTCTGCAAAACGGGGATTCTCCAAAGCAGCTCTTGCCCTTTCAGTTGGAGAGAGCGGATATTCCCAGCTGTGGGCTACGCTAGTGAGCGCTGCCTTGGGCTTCCGGAGCTGAGCTGTGCCTACAGAAGGAGAAGCAAACAGAACACGACGATGCATTGAAAGACATTTCTCTGCGTTAGTGATCTTTGGTAGGAGAGGGGAAGGGTAGTGACTACCTTTAAGGACAGTGAGTTGGCAGACCTATTGATTTTCATGGCAGCATGCTGTATCGAGTTCTTTATCATTTTCCTGGGAGGACCTGGAGCGCTTTCTGGATGGACAGCTTTCCATGTCCATTCAAGCCCCCAGAAGAGGTGGTGGAAGCAGGCAGGACATTGCAAATGTGCCTTGCATTTACTGCATTGTTCTGAGGTAAAACAGTGCATGTCCCATGAATTCAGCTATTATTTATTTAATGTATAGGGTGCCTTGGAGACATATACTAACCTCCAAGACAACAAGGTCCTGACTGCACATGGGTCTCTAAGCCAGTAAACAGAAGTGAAGCCATCGCTTCCTAGAGTCCATAGTCCACCCCCGGTCCCACGTCCCCTCACGCAGACGGTAGCATTGCCAACGGTAGCTGCCTTAATCCCGAGGAGAGCTGCAAAGCCAGCGCTGGGTGTGCCTCTCCCCACAATCTGGTCAGGCTGTCTTTTACGTACACACATCCTCCAGTCCCTTGGGGATCGAAAGACAAGTTAACATTGGCAGTCTGTGAGCAAACAGGGTGGGGAACTTTTTGATGAAAATATTTTTCATTGGAAAATGGCATGTTATCAAAACAGAAACCTTCTGTGGGAAGCCTCCGTTTTGGATTAACTTCTGCTAGGAATGCAGTTTCTAGGGAAAGAAAGCACCATCTCAGCCTTGCCTGCAACTCGGTGGT